TTAATTAGGCCATTCGAAGGATGCCTAATCATCATAATAATACTCCCTGTGTAGGGGGTTGTGTGCTGTGGAGCTGGGATCAGGAGTCAAGGCTGCCCCGTCATGGCTGCTACGGCATTAGCTTTAGCACTGGCATATAATTTAGATTTATCGCTTGATTTTCGCATAAATATCGACCATGTGGGGGGTAGGGAGGTCCTGGGCCTCCTCCACTTTTGTGTGCTCGTTGATGCATAAAGGCAATGGCTCTGGAGCTGAGTGCCCCGACTCGGCCTAACGACTTGTTGTACGTATAGAAGATGTAAAATCCAAATGACATTGAGTCGGTGTAAGTGGGCATGTGGCTGTGCTGCGTGTTCGAAGGGGGCGTGGGTGTGTCAGATAATGTCCAACTGCATAAAGCCCGAGTAAATGGCAGAAAAATCATTGGTGATTTTTCGTTTTATTGAATTTATTGCCATTTCAGGATTTAATAATGTCGTACAGCAAGTTCCTGGGCATAAACGGCTGAAAATATGTTGAAAGCGAGACGTTGAGTGTATTTAGCCCATAACCGGTTGGCTTCCGTTTCATAACCGATTCGTAAAAGTCCCGCGTTTACGATTATGTTCCATTTTCTTTATTTCCCTTCCATAATAATAAGTTAATGCATATTAAACTAGCTGTTTATTACTTATACCCGGTAGTTGTGGAGAGAAATCTACTTAGTAACAAAGGTTTCCGAATTAGAAATAAATAGTATTAAATAAAACATGCCGAAATAAATTACACCGACTTTATGAAGTTAAATCAAAGTCTATCAATTTGTGTTTCAATCCTGTAAATGATGGATTCACCGCATATCTATTTATACCAACTCATAGCTGGCTGTGGAATCGCTAAGAATTTCGCTGTCAGCTTTGCGCATAGCATTCCATCAACTAGCTTCCTCTCCTTGTAAAATTGATTTCATATCATCGTCGCCATCTTGACACTGATTATATGCCTTAACACTTGACTGCCTCCGGGGGCAGGATTCTGGATTCTGGATTCAGGACTCTGAGACTGGCGGATGCCATGGGAAAAGCGTATAAAAAAATGAAGAAAATATCAACACACCATTTAGCGCTAAATACACAGAAAACTCGGACGAACGCGAGCCTCTCGGGAGGAGCGGCTGTTGCTGTCCAAAAATTAACGCAAAATCAAAGTAAAAATGCGATAAATTGGCGACGACAAGCGCAACGCGGAGAAACAATAACAACAACAGCGGCGGACTGACGATGCTGACAACGTTGTCCCGCGCTTAAAATGAGCGAAAATCGGTCGAGCATATCAAATTGAAAAACTCCAAGACAACGCGCGACGGTCGCCGGGGGATGAGGATGAATGCGAGGACGTGGACGTGGACGAGGATGAGGTCCTGACGGGTCCTGAAGCTCCGGTTCCGACTGCTTTAGTGGGGGTTGGAATGGGTGGCTGCGGCGCGTGATGCTTTTGCGTATCCTAGTGACACACAAATACATCGAGGGATAGAAACAGACACCCACGCACAAAGAACTGAGAGCAAAAAGCGCGTAGCAAAAATAGCAGGGAAAAAGAATAACAGCTAGCTACAATAATAACGCTTGAATGGAGTGCCGTGGGGTGGTGGGAAGTGGGTGGTGGGAGGTGGTAGGTGGGCTGTTTCATGTGGGGTGGGGTGGCAAAGGCCAGATGGACAGGCAACTGAGTAGACGACATTCATTGCTGCTTTGGCAGGTTGTTAGGTTTCCGAGTCTGTCAAGGGCGGAGATTGTTAGCAGCTTGAATGAATGACTGACTGAACTCAACCGAACTGAACTCGACTGAATTGAGCTGACTATTGATGTATTTTGGCATATTAGCTGGCGGATTAACCGACCTGGCCAGCGAGTTTGGAACCGCAGTGATAAGTTTTGGCCATAACCGATGGCCAACTGATTCAAAATGTGTAAAATCGTAGGGCTCACTATTCAACCTACCAAAATACAGTTCAAACAAAAAACCTTCTTATGAATAAAACGTAAGGAAAAGACTGAACAGTGGTCTATACCAATCAAACATATTTTACAATCGACATAAATTGTAAACACATATCTGTCAGTAGTCCTATTTATAAAGTCTTCTTAAATCGCACGCCTAGTTAAAATAATTAGAATTTTTTAAAAAGAAAGTAATGTACCTTTTACTAATTCGTAATCCTAAAAAACCCTCCCTTTATAATGTTTATAAAAGGTATTGAGCTCTGTTTAATTTTTATAATGGTATTCTTCGTAAGTAAAGTTCCTTAAACAATGCCAATATTTTTAAACTTTCTGTAAAAGATTTTAATGGCATCATCAAATCTTAAGTCTTAAGTGTCTTTTTTAACTACCTTGGTAAATCAATCACAGCCATAACCGTTTTGGGAGTGTAAGCCAAAACTGTGTCTCGACCATAAGGGGAAATCCCCGAGAAAAAAGCACAACAAGCCGCGCCCCAAACTTGGCTGGCATTATTCAATGCCTCGCAGATGTTTTCCTTGTTGCTGTTATTTTTGCCGGCTCTGAGCGATGCTAAAAAAGTGTTCTTCTTCCATCGGCTGTTGTTATTGCTATTGTTGTTGTTGATGTTGTAGTTGGCAAAAATTGTTGCGTTTCGCATATTAATTTCTTCCTGTCTTCGTGCGTCGTCATCAGCATGAAGCTCATGATGATGAATTTGCCAGGATTTCGGTGAATGGCGTGCTAGTGTGGGTGCGTACTACCCAATTCGCTCTTCGCCAGGACTCTCTTAGTCCTTGGCACTCTCTTCGCTGCTCTTATTGGCGTAGCTTTCCAGCCACGTTGTGTGTTTGTTTGCCTTTTGGGACTTGGGCGCTTCAAGGAGGCAGCCTTAATCACATTGTGAGTCATGTGTTTCATAAATATTCAACAGAAAATTATCATCGCAATGATGAGCACTTCCAGTCAAAACAGAAAATGCAAAAACAAGCCCCCGAGCCTCGACAAGAGGGGCAGTGAAACGCACATGTTTTTGCGATTCTCCAACCCGCTCGCGGTTCGGCCTTTCTCATCATAAAACACCCATGACTACACACCACCACTACTGTGGCCCAGCACCACCACCCCACCGAGGGCCCCCTACAATCGGCGGGCAGACAACCAGCCAGTAAGCCCGGCACATGGCTCTCGCGCTCTCCCACTCAGATGCACTCCGCTCCACTACACAAGACACCTTACATATCTAGGGCCCAGAAACTAACCGTCTGGCCGTCTCGCTCGCACTCGCCGCGCCTGCCATGGGGGGTCTGGAGAGCGAGAGCGAGAGGGCGCTAGCGAGAGAGCCTCGCCTGCGCGTGAATCGGCTAAACACGAGTCACGATTTCGACAGTTCGGGGATTTTCCCTTTAGGCCTTGTTGGGTTTTCCAGCCTGCTCTGGCTAGAGAGTGCCGCAATTCGGTGTGATTTTTGTGTTTTTGTTATGCTCCACGAGGATTTCGGCGGTACTACGATTGGGTATTGAAGTTAAAGGGGATGTTTCAGGCTAGGGATCTTTAAGGCGTACCATCAGAACCTTTGGGATAGAGCCTGGAAAGCAACAAGCTAGCCATTATCAGCGGGATTTTAGGACCAACCACCCCTCTCCAGATCTTATAGGGAATACGAAACTTCGGCTAGGGACTGTTCCCGGTTCGACAGCACACATGTTCGATACAACGCTCGGGAAAAGAGCCGAACGGACGTGGGGGTGGACCGAGACCGACCACCCACCACCCATCGCCCATCGCCCACCTCGAACGTGTGTGCGTTGTTGTTTTGCCGGCGTGTTGGGCTGTTGCGTTCGCTGCACTATGGGGCATTTGACCACTTTGGTTGGCCAAAACCCATTTTTTAAAAGTCGTTTAAACAAAAAATGTTGTTTGAGGATGTGTTAACAAAAGACCATTTAACAATGTTACGTTTACAGAAATCCGATAGAGGTCGCCTCTGTTAAGGTAGGAGATGTTAAATCAGCTGTTTGATATGCAATTATCGAGCTGTTGTATTTCGACTTTTTGCTTGCAGTTTTAAAGTGCTTTAAATTTGAGTTTTTAAGCAATCTAAGTAAACTTTTTGGATTGGATTTAAAGGATTATGCTATGTACTAAGTATTTTTGTGGTTCGACGACAAAAATTAGACGGTTTTTTCTTACAAATGAGTGTTAAAGGGAGTGGTCTAACAAGTACATTTTTGTAAGAAAACTAATTTTCAAATGGAGCAACAAAGTGAGTCCAGCGGAGTCCACTTCTGGAACCTATTGGGATTTTTAGATTATTTAATTGTTGTTAAAATGTATATGGTCAGAATCGCCACTTATTGCCACTTTTTCTGTAATTTAATTTTTTAGACCATAACCTCAAATTTCACAAACTCCTATCGTTTGCACTGGTGGCTAAGGAAGTAAGGACTTTCGTGACTTTAAATTATTATCAAAATATAGTAGAAATACTTAGCTTTGTAATTGACTAACTTAAGTGGACTTTAGCGGCTTTAAAACGAAAGTTCCGCTACAACTTGAACAAAAAGTCGTACAAATGTAAAGTAAATTCTTTCCTTTGCCCCTTTTTTTGAGAACTTTAGGATATAGTCGTCCGATTTGTACAAAACTGTTAATATTGTTTTAAAACTTACATAATTGCTATTTCTAAAGTTATGTGCATTTATCTCCAAAAACAGCAAAGTTAATTTGATCGTTTCTATGGCAGCTATATGATATAGTTTTCCGATCCGGATGATTATCATATATAATATGCGGGGGGATAAGAAATGGCGACTGGTAAAGTTTCAAGTCAATATCTTTTGAAATGACCGAGTTATTAATTTCGGCCAACAAAAGTGGTCAAATGCCCCATAGTGCGCTGGTTCGAATTGGTCGGGTGGGCGTAAGTTCGGTCGGACTCGGGTTCGGGTTCGGGTTCAGTTCGTCTCGTCTCGGATCTTGGGGCTCTGGACGCCGTTGTAAGCGCCGTCCTTTTTCAGTATGAAATTGAGTTCTGTGTAGTTAAGTCGGAATATTTCGTATAGTTCTCGTCGACTGTCGTGTGACATTTGTTCTTCAATTCAGAAACGCATATTGAAACACAGCGATAATACAAATTACGAATATTCAATATAAAATAAAGAAAAACCAAAACAAAAGAAAACCAACCAATTAAATTAAAATTCAAATTCAAATTCGCTTCAAAAATATATTACAAATATAACAACCAATTTAATCAAATCAAATTCGCCACCAAATCGCAAACAAAGTTTACAAAATTCGATTACTCAATCCCATAACACAAAACAAGCTACAACTAATTCAAAAATATATAACTGTTAAATCTGTAAGCAAGGGCAATTACCACTAAGATCATCCTGAACTTATGCTCCAAAATATTTCACATACGACAGACCTGCCTGACTCATTACAACTCGATTTCTGTTAAATCTCTCCATCAGCATCATTAACATTAGCTCCAGAAATAGACCGACTGCCACGATAAACAATCCCGAAAATAATTAGAAACAATTTGTAAACAACAAAATTTCCAAATAAAACTGGGCACTGAGAGGAAACCCAATTGCCGATCAGGTTGTTTTTCTCTCTTTGCCTGGGGTTTACTTTTTCGATATTTCTCCACGCTCTGTTTTATTCTCGATATATTTTTTTCAATTTGCCTAGATAAACAAACGAACGAAAATTGTTTCACGCTCGCAGCACACGAAAACATTTTCAATTAAAATTTTGGCCCAAAAAGCCAACCAAACCAAACTAAAGCAAACCAAAGCAGAGCGGAGCACCGAAAACGTTTCTCACATCGAATTTGAATATTTTGAGCATTCCATAATTTCATTTCCATCTCCATGGCATTCCGATTCTCCAGCACTCGATCCCATTGAAACCATTTTTCGCCAAAATCTGTTTTGTTTGCTGTATTTTGTTGTATTTTAAGTGTAGTTGTGCCAGTGCGAGCTGCCAATATATATGGCCCTGTTAATTGAATATGCACTGCTCTTAATGATTTTCGGCCAGCAGAGCATGATTTTCCTTTCTTTGGCCTGGGATTTGCTATTTCAGTATATGGTAGAAATTTTTCAGTTGGTTTAAATGTTTTACGGCCTCTTTGATGTGGCCGGAATGGCCCATATTTACAGTAAATTATTTTCCCTGGCCTAAAATCGAAATAATTTGGTACTCGACGAGTGTTAAAATGGTCGTAAATCGCTTCGCTAGTTTTTTGATATTCATGTGAGGCGGTTTAATTTCTGGAGTGACTGAACAAAAATCTTGCTTGTGCAGGAGGAGTTTTAGATTTTGTCTACTGCATCTATGTGAAATGTTGATTTTTCGAAAGAACATTTTTTTTATATTTTCTTTAAAGTGCTTGAAATTGTTCGCTTGGTTTTTATTGAAGTGATTGAAAATTTATAATGGTGCACTGTGATCATTTTTGTATAGTTTGGCATTTATACTGAAATTTTGAAATCAAAAATATAGTTTACACCTTTTTGGAAAATTTTCATATTTCCTTGTTTGACCTTCCCAAACGCCAGACGATAAATCATTTTCTTTGCCAACACCAATAAATATGTCAATAAATATTTACCTCGATTGCTTTTATATCCATTCCCGGCGTTCACCTCAGTTCCAAGCAATTTAACTCGCAGTCAAAGATATATTTTTCAAGCCAACTGTACCTGGAAAATCATTCAATTACCCATGCTTACAGCGAACACAAACCAATATTCACAAAACCAAATTTTAATTCGATTTTAGAAACGAGCAGAAAAATCAGAGAGAGAAGGAAAAGCAGAAAAGAGATAGAGAAGTACACGCGTGTGTTTAAATACTGGAAAATACAGATAAGATAAATTATTATAAACACTAAGCCATACACACATTATAGCAGGCTAACCACACGAGAATACATTAAAATCAATAAGTAACAAGTACAGAGAAGACAGTTCAAGTGAAAACAGAAAAACAGAAACGAAACTTTAAAAAAGTGCTTAAAAATAACCAAAACAAAAACTTAGACAAATAAACAACGGCCATTTTCCAGAGGAAGAAACCCTAAAAAAGCTTCCAGCAGAATCGGTGAAAATCGTTATAAAATTTTTTCTCGCAAAGGCGCCACGTCCAAGAGCAAATCGTTCCATATGGTTCATATTATTGAATTGGTCGGCCAGCCGAAGGTTGAGTTTGCTCAACAAGTTACTGTGAGTATCAAAATCGAGAGTCAAAATGAATTTATACACCGCAGGGGGAGGGGGAGGTGGCGCAGGACGGTGGGGCCAAAAATGATAATAAATCTTGTTGTCCGCAGTCACGTAATGACAACTTAATACAAATACATATGCATACATCGCCCCGCACACACTAACGCACTTTTTATTATGTTGTTGTGACGCTTTTCCTCTCTTTTTTCCTTTTTTTTTTGCCTTTGGCTTTGCTCAACATATTTTGACAATTAATCATTCGCTGTGTCTGTGTGTCCTCCTCTGTGTGAGTGCGAGTGTGTGTGTGTGGCTGATTGCGGTTACATTTTTTGTGCGAAAATTCGAAATCAGTGTGTCTGTGTGTGTAGGTCAATGTGACTCTCGTTTCGACTGTCTGCGTCTCTTGGCCATTAACACACCGCAATCTTCACAATGACCAACATCTCCGTTTCTTTGTTACAAGTCCAATGGTCCCGGCTTAAAGCGCTCCGTTTTTCCGACCCCCAGAGGAAATAAATGCCTGAAAATCCAAAAAAAAGACTACAGTTCGATAAAAGATTAAATTCTAGACAAGGAGAAGCATCTAAATGAAAAATGTTTTAGGTTTTCAAATCTTAAATGTTAAATTGATTTTTTGTTTTTGTTAAATTATCGATGTTTGGTTGGTAAAGTAAGGAAAAAAATTTTTGTGGTTTTTTTTAAAGAACTTGTTCTTGAAAAATAAGTTGCAAATAAGATATGTCTTAAAATTTTGTTACTAATTTTAATTTAACTTAAAAACCAAAAAAGGTTAAATATACCTAAAAAAAAATGTTATTCTATCAAAACCGTTTTTTAATTATTAAATTGTACCTAAAATTTAATTGTAAATTGTACATTTTGCGTTTAAATAGTGGTTCCACAGCCTTTGAATTTTATCCAACATTAAAGTGTTTTTTGTTTTACAGAATTACCAGAATAAAATGTTTCCCTAATTAAGATCATAAATCTCCCAGTTCGACGATAGTAGATTACGATTTATTTATACTGCGCTATGTTGATATCCTTTTATCTAGCTTGTTCTTTTCAACCTGATATTTGCCTTTAACCATATGGACGCATCTTTAACCTATATATTGATTTATCAACTTTTTCATTCACTTGCTTTTTAGTCTCTTGATTCTCCCAAAGTTGTCAACCAGCTTTGTGGAATTTACGAAAAGAAGGAAAAAACCTTAAATTCTAATCGGATTTACATTTATTTCTGTTGCGTTGAGTAACTACGTTCGGCCCTCTCATTTTCCCCCACATATAGATTTATATATCTGTTTCACTTTCAGCTGACTGCTTTATCAGTGTGAGTGCGTCTCACATGTTGTTCCTGTTGTTGTTGTTGACGTTGCTCCAGTTGTCACCCTCTTTTCTCTTATTCTCTATTCTATATTCTCTATTTTTTGATTTTATTACAACGCCAACGCAGAAAAGTCTGTTACTCGGGGATATTGCGTAAATTTCATTGTGTATTTCACTTTTATGGTGGTGGCTGTCTAGGATCGGGCATAGATGTAGCTGGGGGTTGCACAGAGGGTGGTGGATGGATGGGTGGGTGTAGTTGGGTGGTGCGTGCTGCGTTAGATGACGTCGCCGGCGTTCTTTGTTGTCCTTTGTGCGTGCGTCCCGCGTCCTGTGGCCGCCCCCTGTGCGTCTGCCTTTATCCTTGGCAGGGATGTTCGAATGTCCTCCTCCGCTCTCCGTTATCCTTGCGCTCCTTATTCTAATGATGACACATGCGTTCTCTGTTGCTTCCCTGCTCCGCCATCCCGAAATCCTGCCGTCCTCCTCCCTCTATTGTTGTTCAATATTTTGTGCCACTTGTTTTGAATTTTTCCACATCCTTTTGTTGTTTTTTTGCTGGCATTACGTGTTAGCTAACTTGCTCGTTAAATGGTTAAGTGGAGCAAAGTCGTTGACACACTTCTTTTGGGGTCCTTTTCTTTTCATTTCTTGCGAGCGAAGCGCTTGCATTTTGTGCCATGACTCAGAGACACGAACTTTCCGGTCGAAGTTGTATCCTTTGGTCGAATGTAAGTTCTCCTTTGAGAAAGCAAAGCACCTAAATGGACTGACTTTAGAAGAAGAACGGACAGTAAAAACCCAAAGTGCTTAAATTACTTCTTAAATTCGTTAGATACATTTTCTGACTTATATATTTAGATTTCTAGGAGCAGTTAATCCTTTTAATTCTCTACAAATCTATCTACGTCTTTAAACCACTCCCCAACCTTTTTACCTTTAGTTCCATCCTTTAATATTCTTTCATCTTTACCCTTCAAACATTATGCCATTCCACTTCTAATCGCCTGTCCTTTGGCGGCGCTTTCTTGAACGTTGCCACTTGGCACAATCATACACTTAATTTTCCACTTCATTTCATAATTTTACCCTTGAAACCAATAATCTTGAGGAGTCCGAAGGAGTCTCTGGCTTGTCAGCCGCTGGCATAATATACCTTTTGACGGCCCCTCCCTTCAACTGCCCACCTGGGGGCGCATTCAACAGCTCGGTGCGGCTAAGACACACTCACTCACACACATGCAACGCTATTAAATTACATGCCAGTGCAAATTACTTGAGAAAACAAAGCAGAGGAAGAAACAAAAAGTCGCAGGGAAAACAAGACAGACCGCATAGCGAGAACGCCTTGACGTATGCAACAATAATAATAACGGGTTGTGGTCGCCTTTGTTATGCCTGGCTCGGTGTTTTGTAAGCCGTCAAGCATTTACATACCATTAGACGGGGCCAAAAGGGGAGTGGGAGTGGAATGGGTTGACAAGCGTATAAATATTGAAAAGCGCCAACGCCTTTTGTTGGCTTGCTGGTAATTGCTTAAGTCGGCAAATTGCCCAGCCTAATAATCATAAATACTACCTAAGAAGGCAGGGCGAACGGCTAGGCGAAAATTTGTTTGCCAATGAAATGTTCTTAGAAGGTCTTTTTGATAGGGTTAGGACGAAGTTTTCCATAATGGGAATGTGCTCGAAATAGATTAGAAAAAGTAAATGGAATTGGTGCTTCAGTAAATTAAGAACAATGTGAGCTTAATGTATAATAGAAATGTAATTACCAGAACCAGCTCTGTCTAGAGAGCTTATAATATAAAATTTTACTGTATCTGTATAAAATAAATAAATATCTCTAAGACATCTTCATACAATAATGTTCGTTTTTTAACATACAAAAATTGTATTTTTTTCACTTTGGGTGTTAATATTTATTTCACGATGACAAAAAATGTTGAAATATTTTGGTTATTATAAAGGTTTTATCTTTAATTTCAGTATAATCAAGATTAAGTAACTTTAGAAATCATTTAAATAGGATCATTTATTTGTTACATTTTATAGAGAATCCCCCCTTTGAAGGACCTTCAATAAAATCCTTTTTAGATCTCAATTCCGCTATGCTTGGCTGAAATTATTTGAATTTATATTATGTATGTCGGAGGGCACGCGACTCGGACTTTGCTCCGAGGCTTAATTTGAGTTTCTTGATTATTAGAGGTGACAGTTTTATAGCTTTGTTAATAGGGAGCACAGACTGCGCCCTCGGTCTCAGGCTAGCCAACAGTTTTTGCTTCTTTTGTTGTGCTTGGCATGTTCAGCGCTGATTATGCTTTGTGCCAGAAAAAGCAGGAAAGCAAGGAAAAACTCACCCCTTGGGCGCTGGAAAACTTATCGCAATGGGGCAGGGTCGGGGAAAGCGAGGGGTCGGGCATTAGAATTACTTGCGTGATTAACGCACACCCTCGAGCGTGTCCATTCCCCGCCCCATGAGGCCAGGTCTTATCTATGGCTGCCTGCCTTAATTGTGGGTCTTCCATTTGACTATCGATCGATTTTCGATTCCATTCAATTCGATCACCGTAATGAGGCAACTTCAAAAGCTGCACAGCTCATTAGGTTTCCCGCTGTATAAGCTACGGCCAGCCACCATGTATATATATTAGTTATATATTTCCCGACTTTCGACTTTTCCCCCGGCTCCGATTTCCTTCTGCTCCTCCGCTTTTTGCTTGGGCTTCTGCACGTTTTCCTTTGTTTTGTTTATGGCTTCTCAAAATAGCTGAATCAAAATGTAAACAAAAGCGCAAAAATACCAAAAACGAAAACTGGGCAAGCAAAGGAAAATCTCGCACTTCGCAGCGGCGGCAGCTGCGTGCGTCATGTGAACAAATTTTCCAGATGCTTTTCCCAGTGCCCCTCGGCCCCTTTTCTCTCTGTGCATCCATATACGCGTATATAGTACACTTTGCATACTTTTAAATGCCTTCGCCGAAGTGCAAAACCGCATGAAGAGGCCTTTAGCTTTCGAGTTTTCGCTCTCCTTGCCGGTTGAACAATAAATTGTATTTCTGTTTATTATTTATGTGCCCCAGCAGAATGTTTACGGTCTTCCTCGCACACATATATAGGCCAGTTTCGTTTGTATTTTCCATTTTCTTTATACCACTAATTATTTCCTCTCACAACATCCTTAACCTTATGATATTTGCTCCTCGAGTTGCTAGCTCCTTGAGAACGCTGCTTATTGTTTTTCCACTTCCCAAATAAATCAACAAGGCACAGAAAAAGAGAGAGGAAGCCGAATGTTTACATTATGTTTACATTATGCAAAAGGAAACTCGGCAAACAAAACCGCTAATTGTCGATAAACAACCAATAAAATACAAATTTCCCAAAAACATTTATCAAAAATAATATAAATAATAACAATAACCGCACAACCACACGGACGCACACGAAAACCAAAAGCAACACTCGGGGGCGATAAATAAAAATGGCAAAAGGAAACTTGGAATGAGCCGCTCGAGTGGGTGAAAAGCGGCGACTGGAGGAGAAGAAATGTATGGAAAATAGTGTTTGACAGCTCATAAAAAATAATGTCGTATTCATTAAGGGTGGTGCCACACAACCTGTACCTGTTTCATTCTGAGGGGCGGGAGTTGCCAAAAGCGAACA